GTGCAAGAAGTGTCACCTGGTATCGCTCGCGTGGACCCGGAGCAGCGATCGGCCGCCCCGCCTGGCTGCCCTGGTCCGAGCCTTCCGGAGGCCGACGAGCCAGCCGACGCCAAAGTCCAGGCCGTCTGCTTAGTCTCAGAACCCCGAGGCCCCGGAAGACCTTGGGGTGCTCCCGCCTGAGTTTGCTTTTGACGATGACAGGTGCTGCGGCGGCCCCCTCCAGGAATGGTGAGCGCCCCCGGCCTTTCGCTCGCCGACGAGAGCGAGCGCTTGAGCGACGGCGCGGGTGCCCGCCGGCGGCTTCCGCGAGACTCCCTCCTGGCCTTGCTGACCTCCACGTCTGGGTGCGCTGCCTGTGAGCCCGTGTTGGGGGGCCATGTGGGCCGCTGGTTGGCCCGTGCACAGTGGGTGCTTCCTGGGTGGCAGGCCGGCGACGACGGCAGCGGCGGTGGCCCGCCGGGGAGTCTCCCGGCCCTTGCCGCGACCGCCGCAGCAATCTCAGCGGCCGCAACAGCCGCGGCAGGGGCCGCGACAGCCGCGGCAGCGGTGCATCAGCCGCGGCAGCCGCAGCGGCGCCCGCGCGGTCGCCGCGCAGCAACCGGGGCGCCGCTGCAACGGAGGGGCTGGCGGCGACGGCGGTGCGCAGGAAAGCGCTGCGGCTGCGGTCGCCGCCGAGGATGCTCGCGCTGCCGCTGTGTGCTGCGCGTTGGCCGATGGGCGCCGCGCGCTCCGGCCGGGCGACAGCAGCGCTCCCGCGGAGGAGACTTGGGCAGGGGTGGCGGAAGACAGCGCGCTCGGACCCCTCTGCCTCGGCCCCTGCCATGCTGGCCGGTGCGCCGCCCGCCCCAGTGCTCTGCTCGGGGTTGCTCCTGGGTGCCACCCCTGCAGCCCCAGCGCGAAGATGTGGCGGCCGTCGCTCCCCGAGGCCCTGGCCCCCCCTCGGAACCCGCCTGCTCGCCATCGGCGGCTCTCGCTCCTGCCGCCGCCGCGCGGGCGGGCGGGGTGGCCGGCGGCCCTGCGAGCGCTGGCGCGCCCGGGGCAGGGCCTGGGCGTCGCGAGGGAGTCCGGGCAGGCGAAGTCGATGCGTTTTGCTTGCAACCTCGCGGGCTTGTCCGGCGGAGACACCTGGTCGGCGAGACGCCTCTCGACTGCGTCGACCGGCCCAAGCGCGAAGCTGGGCCCATGTGCGTCAGTGGGTGGCGCGCTTTCTGCGCGACGCAAGACGAGCGGGGGCCGCGCGCCACCGTCGACCCTGGGTGCTGGTCGGATGTCCAGTGCCTGGTCTGGTCCCGCGAGCTCGCGCCCGGACGGCGCGTCGTAGTTGAGTGGGCCAGAAGAGGGGGCGTGGCGCTGCGGCGGCGTCGGCGCTGGAGGCGGTGCGAGGCCCCGGCGGGGGCTCGCTGGCCCACCTTGCGGCCGCGCCCGTTAGACCCATCGCGGGCTCGAGCATTGACTGCCAGTCCCAGCTCGGTTGTTCATTTCAGTCGGTTTTTGTGCTGATCTTCGCAGGACTTTCCATTCTTTCCGTGGCTTTGCGGTTCAGGCGGGCCTCCCGCATTGACCGCGACGAGTGCCTGGGCCTGCCTGTGGCGCAGCCCGTAGTTTTCCGCGTGCTGAAGGTGCTCTCTCCATCCTGCGGCCCTCCATCCTTTTTCCCTCCTGCCTTCCATTGCCTGTGCCTCTATGTACTTCGCGTGCATCCCGTCCTAGCCTGACCGCGGTCGGGCCCCGCGCGCCGCCAATCAAAAAGTATAGGTCGGCTTGTGTAGGGCGTGCTTAATGTGGAAGAGGATGGGGGCGGGTGTGTTTGTTCTGTCGGATGTGCGGGGCAGTGCTTCAGTACTCACCTGCGTTGAGGCAGGCGTTGTCGGAATCGTGCCAGACGGTTGCGGTTAGACAAGCGTTCATTGGCGTATCTGTTATCATCGCTCGCCCGGGCGATTCGCTTTCGTTCCTATCCTAACTGCGCAGGCCCAGGTGAGTTCAAGTGTGCCACTGTAAGGAGTGAGTGGACGTCGACGACTTGGGTGAATTATCATTGCCCGCGTCGTTTCCATCTTTTCCTCCGCCCGCTCCGGCTGCAGCTGGTCTTCCTAGGGTCTGGGGCCAGCTGTGCCGGAAACTCGAGAGGTGGTGGTGGAGGTGGAGGTGGAGGTGGTGGTGGTGGTGGTGGTGGTGGTGGTGGTGGTGGTGGTGGTGGTGGTGGTGGTGTGTGTGTGTGTGTGTCCTGTACGCGTTGTCGCCTCGCGCAGGGCCGCGGGCCGCGACGCCCAAACATAGTTTGTGCGTGTGTGTGGCACCAACGAACACCCAGTCACGTGCGCAGGACGTCCGGTCAGTTTGGGGTCCGCCCGCGTCGGGCCTTCATGGAAACGCGTGACAAACGAACCGCGTCGTCGGAGGCGGGGGATGTCAGACCATGGCAGGGGTCACGGTCGGGCTTGGCAACGCATCCACGGGGTGGGGGGGCTGCCACCCACCACAAACACGACCAGAACACAGTGCGCCAGACTAGTGCGGGAGTCGGGTCCAGCTTGAGGATAGCATTGAGGGGGCGGCAGGGTCCGCGAGACCAGAACGAGGGAACGAGGGTGAGAGTCGTGCTTGGGTCAGGATTTATTGAGGAAATGAGGTAGTGGATATCAGCCAGCGTTGACTCCAAATAGATTACTCGACTCAAATCAAGGAGTCAGAGGAATCGAGCATGCTGGGAATCCGCAATTCAGCAAGCAAGCAAGCGATCGTGCAAGCAAGCGCGCAAGCAAGCGCGCAAACAAGCGCGCAAGCAAGCAAGCAAGCAAGCAAGCAAGCAAGCGTGCTAGCGCGCAAGCAAGCAAGCAAGCAAGCAAACAAGCAAGCAAGGGGGGGGTGATTGGACGTAGGGGGGGTGCCATTGGAACAAGGGGGTGCCCAGAGGTGGTGCATAGGCATAGGCATAGGCATAGGCAACGGCATAGGCATAGGCATAGGAACGCTCAGAGGTGGTGCATAGGCATAGGCATAGGCATAGGCATCGGCATCGGCATCGGCATCGGCATCGGCATCGGCATCGGCATCGGCATCGGCATCGGCATCGGCATCGGCATCGGCGAAGGCATAGGCATAGGCATAGACATAGGCATAGGCGTAGGCATAGGAGTTAAGGGGGATGCATAGTCATAGGCATAGGCATAGGTATAGCCATCGGAATTAAGGGGGGGCATAGGAATTTGCGGTTGGGCAACGGACCAATTAGTAGGGTTTGAGCTAGTACTCCTGTAGCGCAATATGATTTGGATAATTTGGAAAAACCCGACCAGAGGCGGATCATGTCAGACCAGCTCGATTCCGCGTCGGGTTTTGTGGGGAAGTCGACGGGGCGG